TCGTGATACATGTATATCTTTGTAATGTACCAACCCAAATTAGTTTGCAAATGAGTGTATATTCGCTAATTCATCTCAGTATCTTCGTGAGGGGACGAGAAGGGTCGAGCCATAATTGCTCGATCCTGATTGGGTGACATTTTGACCAATCAAGACGCCCTCCTACGGTTCGTAGCTCGCACGTGACACCCGTTCAAACCACGTGATTAAGCACGGCTGAACTCCGGACAAGTGAAGCCTTGGTGAAGATCCTTAAAGATCCGTTCAGTTACATTAATGTACTTTGAATTAGACCATGGGACATCAGCCTATGATACGTCTGATAAGTTCTACCGTCGCTCCGGATATATCTAACTGTCGACAGCAACAGAGGTTGGAGGTGAGGGGATAACGTGTATTTTGAGGCTACAAGTGTTCGGTTACACTTGTTCTGGCACTTCGGAACGCGAGGTTACATTAACCACCGTAATAGTTCATCGCTCAATCTGCTGGATGAACAGTTTCCGGGTCTCGTAAGTCTCTGAGATTTTGGGATATCGGTATCCGTAGTGTCCTCTGTGTATAAATAGGCCTCAGCGCTGGTGATAGCACGGAACGCGTATAGGTGAATTATACTACTTTTAGTGCCTCAGCTAAACGATCAATTATTAGTATTTCTCCCTTTAGCCTGTACCCGCATGTTTCCCTTGTTCTTGCAACTTGCATCATCTTCATATACTGGAAGTGGCTGCGGTCAACATTTTCAAAAACAATTCATTATGTGCTTTTCAGGCCGGCCGTGAAGCCATAATTGTAATGGAAACGAAGTTCATGTTTCGTGTGGCCGTTGATCATCCACGTGCGGGGAAATCGTCGAACAAAACCGTCAACCTTGTTTCTGTTCCAAAAGTCGGTTCCTTGTTCGCTCTGCTACCGTGCTGCTCGTCCGAAACGTTCACTGTCCTTCTCTACGGAGACCAGCTTACCCACCGACCTGTGGATCGTGCGGTACGAAAATGGCGTCGACCTTTGTTGCGGGTCCCTTTGGGGGAGTGCAGAATCCCGTCCGTCAGTCAGTTGTGTACAGACATTCTTTCAGAGACATCCTGATGAACTGCCTGCCTTTTTGTCAGACCTTGTGTTCCAATCCTAAATGACCTATGGGACTTTAGGAGCGGCTGTAGAAAGCGGTCAGTCAGCCCACTAGGTTTGGCTGGGTTGGTTCAGTTCTTGCGCGCTCCATTCGTCTCAGTGGCTTCATATCTCAACTCGCTCGAACTGGAAACAAAATCAAATGCAACAATAATGGCAGAAAATAATAGTGACAGTATTAATAATAATAATTGTAATAGTAGTAGTAAAAAGCTCGACTTATACACTTGTTTTGCATACAAATTTGATTTTGAAACTCACTTGGACCCCAGCCTAACCTCTCGTTTATCATGGTCTGCTTCAACTGAAAATGCTGCACCAGGCCGCCTCAAGTTTCAGTTGTTGGCACGATATTCGTGATATATACGTAGCATACTACTCGTGATTAGCAGCAACAATAGTTATGACAATAAAAAACTCCTTGGTGAGATACATTTGGTACACAGAAGCCCTCCCATCAACCGCTCTCTTGGGACCACTCCCGGCCTTATNGGCTTGATTTACTTTCTAGCCTTAGATTATTTTCGTAGATACCTATGATTTCCATTCAGTCGCACCGTCTGATTGGACGTGAACAATGGATTTGCGGAAATCTGGAATTCGACAAAGTTTTTTTGAAAGTAACTGGTTATTACGGGATCAGACGGCGATATAAAACAAACATGCTCAAATGGAGTTGAGGAATATTGTAACCAGCTGGTATTTACTGTGTACAGGGTCGATCGACATTCACCCACATTTCTAATCGTAATAAATCTTGTGGGACTCGTACTGAGGTGTGTATAACTATGCTTTGCGATGAATATGATATGATCACCCTGTTTCCCAATGGTAATTTCCGTTTTTTGTTGCCAAAAGAGCAAGCAGAAACGTTTTACCTGCCATCCGTAAGCCTATTCACTTACTATCGGTTAAACCTTGATATGGTGAGTATAACTCAGTTGCTTTGCTTTGCTTCCTTTGTACCACGCATAGTTACCGTGGAAAAATTTAATACTGCTCAGTTTGAACAAAGTTACCCATTTTCGTGTGCACGTGTTGTGTTCTGCGTACGTTCATCTTTGCTAAAACAACTATGCCACATTCCACCCTTTCGTTTTCTCTTAGTGAAACACCATCTTGCTTTTTCATTCTGTGTAAAAATAGTTTGTATTGTTCTCGAATCACTGAAGTGAGGGAACAAATCAAATGAGCCAGTTTGGTTTGAATTTGGAAGAAACACCATCTGCTTTTTCATTCTGTGTAAAAATAGTTTTTATTGTTCTCGAATCACTGAAGTGAGGGAACAAATCAAATGAGCCAGTTTTGGTTGAATTTGGAAGCCTGTTGTAATTGTAATGTAGTGAGGTTAAAACGAAGATTTAATCGAACCAGATGATGCGTTTGGCCTCCTACTAAGAAATGGGACGTAGCACCCCTGGGATCATGCCATGTCAAACGTGATCGATAAAGAGAACAATGAAACACGTGAATAAGATGTCATATGACCAGGTGTAGTGTAGTGTTTGTATTACTACACCTGCAGTACTGTGCCGGTGACGGCAATCAATATTGCGCATTATAACTGTCTTAGCACTGTCATTGAGCTGAGATAGTTTCAGTTTCTGGTTTTCCTTGGAGTAAGGAATTCCCCCACCAATAAGCATCTTGAAGAGGTCCGTCCTGTACGAAGTGAGTGAACTGTGTCGTGTCTCGATAGTCTTCCTACCACCTTAGTAAGTAACCCCATGCTGACCACTGCTACTTTGTGGCCGGGCGTTTTAACAAAAGGCCTATATTGATGACCTTAATCGTTTTCCTGTCTACTTTTGGGTACCCTGAAAGTTTCTCAGCTCACATACAACTATGAATTTCACATAAATACATACGTTCGTGCCACATCAATTGGGTAGCCTCGTTTGGATAAGTGGAAGTGTACGGCCACTGATTCGTTCCACCTTTCTTCATCGTCTCTCCATAAATCCCATCCTGTCTCACGTGACACTCATTCCTGTGTGGATTCTAACTACCGGCACTTCAGTCAGGCACCTCGCACGCCACCGGTCACATCTTCCGCTGCGCCTACATAATTTAGGCCCAGTTCTGTTGTTTTTGTTTCAACCCTTGAAGTGCAAACTGTTAAGAAGCTCCTCTTGCGCGTCCTCTGGATACTTCGTCGATCGACATCTGCTGCATCTCCGAAACTCGAGTACAAGACTCGAACTGAGTTGTTGACCTCTAGAGGCTGCCGGCTGGGGAACCTGAACGATCCCGCATGGGTCGCTCCGGGGTTGGTGTAGCCTTGAATTTACCAGTCGAAATGCTGAGCGACGCTTGTTTGTCGCATCAGCTTACGCACCAACGAAGTATGTTTCTGATTCACTGAAGGCCACCTGTTGAGAAATGGTGGAAAGAGGTTCCAATCCACTCATGATGCCAATGTTCATCAGAAGCACGCCTGAGCGGTTGTTTTAAGCTGAACGCAAAACCAAATGTTAGTGGTAACGCGTTTTGTAAATTTGTCGTGATCACCATCTGTATCTCAGCACTACTGACTGTAGACGCAGTGGGCACCGTTGTGCTGCTTGGTGTTCCACTACCGCTAAGCATTCTTGAGATCATATGACCGCATGGTCATCAGCTACCGATAATGAGTTTCAGTCCTTGACTATCGATTGTTTCTGAACACACTGATTCGCTCAGATGCTCGGTGGAGTAAAACCCAGAAACGCACTCTTCATTTAGCGGTAGAAAATTCTGTGAGCCACCACCAAGAGCGAACCGTTCAAAGCCAATGTTGGCGATATGATCTCGAGGGACAGAGCACAACGTGGTCCCATGAAATTCAAGCGGCCACAGTCGAAAACAATGTTATGCGATCATCGCGTCTTCCTTGCCGGGGGTCAAAGTGATCCTGCGTGCAATTGGCTGAAAACTCCCCAGGAGGGTGTGGGAACGAGTACGATCAACCGGTGTACGCGAGATGAGAACGAGCGCGCAAATCCCCCGCGACGACATGAGTCCCGCCACTCTTAGCGCAGACTGAAGACCGGCTCTTTGCAGATCTCTACTGCTTCAACCAACGGCAGCTGACAGCAGGAAAGGATCTTGCCAATAATTCAACGACTAAATATTTTTGTGGATACTGTTATTCCAAAGAAAACTGGGTACTTAATCGATTCCAGTGACACGCAAGCTGTCATTTTCTGGAGGTATTGTCAAGCCAATGTTCGCCTGTCGTTGAGTGCTGGGTTTACACAATGTTAAGTCCGCAAAGGACGCTGGGCCATTCCCGTTAATAACATCCTAACTCGACATATTGCTCAAATGTCCAAATTTTTAGTCACCCCTTATTCCTGATTGTCTTCCTTAAGGAAGCAGGACTTTTTTGCATTTCCCACTCCATACTAAAGCTTTCTTCCTTGATTATTGACTGGCCGTTAAGTGCCAGTATGTATTACTGATGTATTGCTGTCAATGGTGGTGACGATACTCAGATCATTTCTCATTTAAAGCTGCATTAAGTGTGGGGGGAAAAAGATGATGAAAGTGACCTTGAAGCTCCTGGTTAACCGGGGTTGGGAGACTAAATTTCCGAACTCGGTTTGCTCACTTAACAACCGGAGGTCTCCCACTTCGCATACTACATGTGGGACACACGGGGGTCCATTTGTTTTGCATGGCTTTCTCCTGTCCTCAAGACAGCTGCATTCTGACAAATGAAGTCGGTCAATAAAAAAAAGATGCATAGCGGATGGGAAGTCAAACAGCCACAACAAAGTTTGATTTAGAATCGAAACGACTGCGCCAATTGGTAGATATGTGATGTTTGGTAACCAAACCCAAACTCCCTGTGCAATGCCTGGATAGTCATAACTGCGATCAAATACCAGTCTTATTCAGTCGTTCGGTGTTGTCCATACGGCCTAAAGAAAGCTATTACTGGATTGTTCGACGTGTTAGCTGAGCGTACCAGTTTCTGGTTTTGACGTCTCAGAAAGCATCCTTTCCAGTGATATACATTCGACCGATGTCTTTCCATGTGACCAGGCCAGCGCCCAATCGCCAGTCCTTATTGATGTTTCCTAGTTTGCCATTTTTTAGAACAGCGTGCTTGCCGTCATTGGCGAAATGTTTTCAGTTTAGTTCTGGTGGAACTGAACCACGTGATAACCTGTTTGGGCGCTTCGTGGTCGTTCACGTGACGCATTCACTGCGGTTGACATGAGGTGTCCACATATTAACGACCGTCCAGGATCAATGGCCTGACTATTCAACAGCAAGTTCTTGAAATATGTGATCAACTAGTCCTCGGGCGGGCGCGTCCAACATTCATCTTCTTAACGTGATCTCTCCAGTAGTTTAGTAAAGGATCCTGTTTTATGACTGTTGATGTAGTCTGTCTAGCTCCAGAAGCCAACAGATACAGGAATCGCGTTAAGCTATTCATCAGCATACCCAAAGTCCATGTACACCAGTAGTGTCTCATCGATGTTTCGTCGAGTCAGAGCGCCGTGCATAGAAGAGATCGACCGAACAGCAGCTCAAATCAAGATTGCCAACAGACTTCAAGAAATAGGATACGCAGTGAGTTTGATTAAGCGTCAGTGAAGAAAGATATTGGCTCCAGTATCCAGTAAGGAATGGATTGGCACAACAGTCATTCCATATAAAGCAGGAACATCGGAGGTTATTCGAAGATTGTTGAACTTAGCCAACATTCGAGTAGCTCTTCAGAAGGGAAAAAAGGTACGCTCAGTTTTGGTGCAATTGAAAGGTCCCCTACCGGCTGAAAGGACTAGGGACTGTGTACATAAAATTAACTGCAACGATTGCGCTAAGGTTTACATAGGACAAACACCAGAATTGGCGAGCATAAAAGAAGGTTAAACAAACCACCACGGAATGCAGAAGAATACCACACGCTGGTCAAAGACTCAGCGGTGGCGGTACATGACTTAGACACGGGACATAAAATAGATCTGGGGAATATGTAAGTTTTTAAGACGGGAACTGCGATTCACACCACAGCGGCTGATAGCCGAGACGGTGGAAATTACTAAGCATCACAGCGTGAATAGAATCGAGGTTGTGGAACTGGCAAGCGTATGGAAATCGGTCTTAAATAAGTCGAGTTG